AATATATAAAAGACTCAGATGATAAGACATACTAAGACCCAGTATCTTGTAAGATCTAAAAAGCTTTATTAAATGCATGTAACACTATGCTAAAATCTGATTAATTTCATGATTCGTACTTCGTGTTTTTTATAAGCCTGTATGGCAGCACTTCTCTATGTTGTTGGAAATGAAACAAAAGAAAAATAAAAAAAATAAAAATAGTAATACTTCTTTAAAATACAGAAATGTTTATTGATATAAAAATGGCATAATTAATGTTAATAACTTTGGGACATACAAGAAAGTTTACATTAAATTGCAAATTAAAGTCCATATAGCATTAGTAACAGCAGAAACAAATACTACTAAATATGTTTTTAAGTTTCGGTAATTTTCAAAATCCAAGAGATATTGCAATCATAATCAGCGTTAATTTCTAACAGAATCAAATGAAATCTGTACAACTCGCAAGCTTTCTACAGATATTACTTTTAAGATTTATTTTTTATTTATTTGCAGAAAAATAATACTGTAGGGAAATATCATGGAACTAGTGAGATTCCCTTACCTCTAAAAAAACTACAGTAATTTCAGCATAGTGTAACAGCGTCTTGATGAACACTCTGGATACTAAAGAAAGTAGTAAAGTCTTCTCTTCCTTACAAAAGCACAGATAGTAACAATCATCCCAGATCTTACATATCATTTGTTTCATCCTGCCCACTTCACAAATGTATAAAAGTGGTTCCACATATTAGTCATTTACCTCACTGCTTTATATCAAAGGTCTTGAGGAAGAGCCTTTCCCCTATTTCCACATTCACTCCTATAAGCTATACTCTAACCCTCTCTTTGCCTGCTGCTACCCTAACCAATACCCATTTATATTGATTCAACCCCTTGTTTCCTACCAGCTAATCCAACTTCTCAGTCAATTTGGCAAAACCTCACATGGAAGACACAGGGATCTCATTGTCACATGACTAATCCCTAACTAGGCACTAGCATTGATATTACTTCATACTTTTGTGTTGTTCCTTACTTCTAAATCTGTTGATTAGATTACTCATTTTCATATTCTTCCTTTCTCATAATATTTAGTGTCAGAAAAAAATTATACAGACTTGTATTGACACATGAAATTCTTAACTTCCTTGTTATGAACAAAACCTCAAGATTTTTGCAACACTCTCTAATTGTGCATACATATGATTGGGTCAGTGTGGGTGTCAGTGTGGGTATGAGTGTGGGTATGAGTGTGGGTATGAGTGTGGGTATGAGTGTGGATATGAGTATGGGTATGAGTGTGGGTAAGGTGTAGGTGTGGGTACAAGTGTGGGTAATAGTGGTTTCATGGGTGTACATGATGTACACCCACAAGACTGGGGAGAGGAGTAAAGTAAAAGAAAGGTAAGGAGGAGGAGGAGGAGGAGAGGAAGGGGGGGAGGCTATTCAACAAATGTACTACACCTTCACTTATGAATGAGTCATATGAAAAACAAGAAAAAAAACACATAAAAAAAACATAGTCATGAATATTTGCACATAAAAACTATTTGAAAAAAGAGGGGGAAAAGCATTACTACAAATATTTGCACACCTTTAAATATCTCTTGTTTTAATCAGAGTAAAGGTCAACAGTGATTCTATCAAGGCTGACTTTGCTGATCATTATGTGTGAGAGCATACACCTGCTGGGTAAGTATCAGGTTCCTGTGCCGTAGGACTTGGAGTAGGTCAGCTTGCCGTTCCAACACCCATTCTAAGTTGCTAGGACCCCTGTTGAAGAAAAAGAAGGAAATTACTGCTGTATTGCAAAAGGAAAATTTGGAGATAAAAGATATAAATTAATAAACATACATTTAGAATCTTTCTTACTATCTACATATCAATTGATACATAATTAGTATGCGGAAAAGATATGAATTAGAATTAATATCTCCACAGTGCACAATGTATCTTGAATTATATTTTTGACAATGATATTTGCTCTCATTCAAACCTTTCCTATCCTTGGTGAAAGGGATACTTTTCATTTAATTAGTAGGATATTTCAGCATACCTTTAGAGCCCTCATTAACCCATTCGCGACAGGTAAAAATGAACAAAAAATGAGGAAAATGCTGTGCTCATTTTTTATATTTTTTGTGAAATGTCTACACATAGATGGCTCTGCCTTACCTGATTTCACCTTTACTTGAATTGGCGGGAAAATGTACTTTTACTAGTGCTAAGAATATCGATGGTTATTTTTATTATAAACATTATAATTACTATATTATAAACATTTGTAGCAGCAAAATAAGATAACGTAAAATATTTTCATAAATAAAAAAAAAGGGTAAACGGGCGAGGCAGGCAGTACAAGCACAAGTGTAGCCATCTATTTGTAAAAACAATTAAACAAGTAAACTCACAGTGGGCACGTCACGCATACTTGACACCTGGCGCGAATGGGTTAACATTTAGATATTATTATATAAATACTTGGTGTTACTATTATCATTTACATCATTATACTATCGTCATTACTTTTGTCATCAATGTCATTATTATCTTTATCATTATCAACATTATTATAATTATTATTACAATCCTTATTGCCATCATTATCATCATCATTGTTGTTATCACCATTACTGTTACAGTAAAAATCGTAAAAGTAATCACAATACTGATACAAAATCACACTTACCTCACTCCCACATAGGAATCCGGACGGGTAAATCTGAGAGCCACATCTTCTGCCAGGGTGTCAGGAGGAAGTCCAGCAAGGTTGAAGCGAACAACTTCCACTGAGACAGAAAAAAATAAGATGAAGGAGATAAAAAATAATAATAATAACACTCTATAATAAATATCACTTTTGAAACTTTGCAATGTTTATATAAGTATTACTCTTTATTTAATCAGACATTCTATTATCTTACTTACTCTAGCAATACAAGACAAATTATATATGATTTATGAATAACACACTAACTAAAAAAAAAAAAGACATGAAAACAAAGACATACCTATGTGTTTGATGACAAAGGGTATTGCACAAAATATCTCTAGGATAAAAATCACTTGCTGATAGTTCACAGGGGTCAGTCCAAGATTCAAACTACAAGTGTCTGAGCTTCCACCCAGACAATAGTCTTTTACAACACAACCAATGACAATCAAGATGACATTTCCTGTGAATAAAAAGACAAAAAAGGAAATTAATAAAATGTTTAAGAATATGATGAGACAGATAATATCAATAACATCTGCAAAAAAAAAAAAAAGTTACTGATATGATTTGTGGATGTTTGAAGAAAAAATCAGACACCAAAATATGGCAGGGGTATGATGAGGCCAACATTGCTGTTAGAAGAAAGATACTTGAGCATAAAGGGATGAAAAAATGCAATAGTATGTGGTGACTTGAGGGTTGAAAATGTATTCACATTTTATACTTAGAGCCACTAAAAAGCTAATTAGGGGAGGCACTGTAATTACTGATATGAAGTCTGATTTTATTAGACGGATGTCTTTACTTATTTTAAGAGATAGGTGAAAGGGAAACATCTAGCACGGAAAGTAATTGATAAAGGTGTTCAATAGATGTGGATAGCAATGGGATAAGTTAAGTGAAGATCTTTGATCCTTAACTGGAAGCCACTTGGCCCCTAGGGGATGAATAATAAATTTATCAACTGCGGAGGAATTTCATCAAGACTTGAAAGGAAGTACTCTGTATGTTGTGGATCTATATAAAACTAATAGCAAATGAACACTCATTGGTTTTCTTGATTACTTGCTCTATGCAAGAACCACAGAACTTTCCTGACTATATGAAATGTAAGAATTTTATCATACTTTAACCCCTTACTGACGGATGAAGAAAACTTTTTAAAAAACTCTACAGTCTGGAGATAAATGGCAACAAGCCGACTTTGTGCGCGGGAGTTTGCTACATCAAGTCGAACTCCTGGCTCATAGCACTTTGCCACATCACAGAGGCATACAGCCGCACTCCACAGATCAATTGGTTTGTTATGACGCCTCAGCACGTGGCCCGTTAGTATGGGGTTAATTATGATAAAAATACAATGAAATAATTAGCTTATTATATCTTAAACTGGGGAGGAATAGGAACAGCCTTGAACTGGAAGGGAAGGGATATGACCTGGGACACATGCAAGGAAGGTATGCAGCACAAGTCAGAGTAAATGGTTCATACTGTGATGAGTCTGAAATATGGAGTATGACTTCAAAGAAAATGGGCTCAAGCTGAATTTGAATATAAACACTAGTCATGGTCAGTAGAGACAGAAAGGATGCTCCATTCAAGAGTGGTAAGTGTCCATGAGGGGTATGATTTATTGTAATGTATATAAGCACTGCTCCTTTTACCCAGCTTAATATGGCAGAGGGATCAGTAGTAGGTTCAAAAGAATTGACAGATATAAGTGCAAAAGCTATCCTATGCACTTGCAAGGAAAGAATGGACAATGGGTCTGTTGAGGTCATAAACTGGTTTTGTTCCCTAGAAGTTACAACTACTGCAGATGGTGAATGGTGGATGACTGATTACTTATGATGATGATGGTGAGGAGGAGGATGGAAGAGAAATATTTTATTCAAATTATATGATATAAAATACTTAATGACCTCTCAATCACTATAAATTTAAATATAAATTATGCAGGACTAGTTGGAAATTATACAAATAATACTGACTAATCACAGTCTCCTGTTCATGTCAAGAGTGACTATAAATGAAATCCCAACCATTTCAAGCATTATCTCCAAAGACAGAGTACTCTTATCATTAGTGCCATCACCTCACCTCCACTCAAAATGTAAAAAGTGACTCTGTGTAGATATCGGGTCGCATTGTAGAAATCATGATAGCCAAGGATTCTCGACTTCTTATGTTCTGCTTTTACATACCAAGTAAGAACCTGAAAAACAAATATTTCTTAAAGAATGATAAACATTATGAAGGCATGCATGTCCAAAGGGGGCCTCAGAGCAATTGCCTGGCAATACTTATATTAAATGTTCCGTCAATCAATGCCTTCATCTATAATATGAGCATAGACATATGCACATTAATGCACTCTATCTCATAATTGTAGTGTATTAACATGAAGATATTGATGTTTATGTTATTGATGAAAGTTAAAATTAACAACACATATAATAAACAAAATTGGTCTGACCACCTTCAGATGCATATACCGACATGTATAAAAAAACAAATATTTCTTGAAGAATGATAAACTTTATATGATGGGAATTTTTATTCACACACCTACGAAGCTCATACAGGAATAGCACTTAACTAAAAGGTACTAACATACTCTAAACATGAGAATTGTAAAGACAGATTCAATGCAACCACAATAAAAATCATTAGATAACTTGAATCAATACCAATTATTTTCATGCACTTTTAATATGTTCAAAATTCCTACATATCTCTTATACAATGAGGAGGGAAAAATTGCATTTCAAAAGTAAGAACAGGACTGACTGACATGCTAGATTCCCTCCTCCCTCAAGTATAGCTCTGCTTTTGCTTTGAATTCTCTGTTTGACAGGTTCACTCACTCCTGCTCTTCCTATTAGATAATAGTTGCATGTTTGATCTCACGTTTTGTGATGCCATACAGAGCAGCTACATATCCACTGTGAATCTATTTGTCTGAGCCATAGTCTTTTCATCAAAGTCTTCCCTTGTGAGCACAACTGTATATCTTTCATATTTGCATTTCATGCTGTACCTCTTGTCTATTTTGTGCCAGTGCATCCTTCTACATGAGGAGCCCTTATTAGGCAGACTAACTCCTGGCTATTCCACCTCAATGTAATCCTCTTCTCTTGTATCAGTTACATTGGGATCTAGAATCAGAATTAGTAATCAAGAATTACATCTACACTGCCTGTGATTTTGCCAGGCCTATCTTCACTCAAATTGGAAAGCACATGTCTCATCCAGTGCTACTACCTGGGCTCTACCTTTCAGTTGAGGCGAGCAATTTTAGTAATAAATAGCTTGTTTTCTGTTCCTGCCACTGGTACAGGATGTGTACATGCTCTTCCCTACACATAACCTCTGCCAACTACTGTTATCTTAAGGTTCAATATTCACTTTCCTTATTTTGTGACATCTAAGCCGACAGAGAGAAAGGAGAGGGATTTTATGATAACTTTTGTCATCTCTAGTTCTTGGATATGTCATGCAATTCTTGTAGTTACATAAAGTCATCTCAGTTGAGACTTCTAATTTTGCTAATTAGGTTCATTTCTACACCAGATCTCACAAACAGAAAAAGAGGAGATCCCATCAATTCAATGACAATAGACATGAATCTTCCACTTCAAACTGATGTGAATTATTCAGTACTTAATAGAGCATCAAAGAGAATTAAACTCTATGTGATAATCCAAACTATTAAAATACTGATAATTAATGATTATAAAAAACTCATAGCATTCCCATTCACCCCCACCAAACTGAGCCTTCGGTACATTTACATATTGGGAATGGCATAGTTTACTTACAATACCATCATATAAATTTGTAATATGTCTACTGAATTATAATAACAAACAACCATATTCTGCAACTAAATCCACAAACCAGAAAGAGGTCAACACATCTACATAAACAACAGCTAACAAAATATATACAACCTAGTAAAATAAAAATGGAGAAAACAACAGCTTACCATAACCACAGCCCACACAATTATGTGTAGGTACTGAAGGGCAGAAAATGAATCAGTACCAGTGTTTGAAGTGTGGACAACCGGGACAAGAAATGCTCCAGCTGGTAAAATGATCTGTCAAGAACATTACATATCCAACATTATAATTATCTTGATCACTATCAGGACTACTATTATTCTGTTGCTGTTATCATCATTATCAGGATCAGGATCATTATAATTATACTTATTATTATTATTATTATTATTATTATTACTATTATTACCCTTGTCATTCTAAAGGATAACACTAAAAAAGTAAAAGACAAACAGAAATAAAGAAAAAAAAGAAAGACAGAAAAATAAAAGAGGCAGGATAGTAAGAAAAAGACAGAATAGAATCTTAAAAGTGAAACAAAAAAAGAAATTGAACATAAGGAAAGGAGGACCTTACCAACAACAGTAACTTGCTGTAAAGGGCTGGTATTACAGGGAGTGGGTAGTGATGCTCTTCCTGCCCCACAATGAGCTTTTCTTGGTCTCCCCCTACAGTATTAATACTGAAATCCCCTGCTTCCACAGTGTTAGCTTGTCGTTCCATTGTCAGCGTCTTAGGATCTGCCAGAAGAAAACCAGAATGACAATATGCTCTATATCCCATGGTCAGTCTAGTAATAGAACACTAAGTGCTCAGACCTCTGTATTGCAACATCATTCTTCAGAATGATGTTGCAATACAGAGGAAGACTATGCTTAAGAAGAGACTATTTAGTAATAAAAACTTGAAGATTCTTAGTTCAAGTAAATACACAATAAATGTTTCAGCACC